CTACACACTGCTCCTTTAATATCTATGAATATTATATTACATTTCTGATAGATCCTTATAATGTTACACACTGGACCTTATATAAAAGTATGTTTACATGCATTATTGGAAAGTTTAAGTTTTTACTGTGTGTATAAATAATTCTAATTCTTAATATTTTACAAGCATCAGACAACATATATAATCTGATTTAGTTGTGGTCTTGTTGTACTGTGTTGTGCAGTGTGTTTTGATTTGTTTTTATTTGAATCACGGATAGCGAAACAGAACCTGCCCTCCTGCTTACTCATCATGTTCAGTTTATGCTGTTGCTCACATTAATAGGACAATATATTCTGTGCGTACTGTATAGAGGAAAAGACTGCAGAGATAGAACATTAATGAGCCCCGGGCTATAAAACTGGTCACAGTACAAGGTCAAAGACACACCCCGCAGCAATAAAAGCATCCTCATCACCAAACGACTGGCTCCATATTACCCCTCAGCGCAGGCCCAGTCTCTGCTGTGAGTTTTTAAGGACGACTGCTCTTGAGCAGGAAGTGGCTGAGGAGGAAATGCCTTTGTGATGAGAGGCAGCCAGATCTCTGCTGACTCTCCCTGCCTGCCGCATTTCCTTCAAAGCACCACCTTCAACACATTGTTCTCATCTGTTCACTCACAGTTCAGAAGGATGCTTAAGACTCAACAACAAACAAAGATAACAGATTATATCTTGTATGAACACTGTGGGACATCATCGCCACACAGGAAGTGATGAAATGTAAAGAATAAAATGAAAACTGCCTTGTAAACATCACTTTAGTCAGTTAACACTATTTAGCAAACCTTTCCAAGGCTGAATGCTGTTTAAAACTCATCCATACGTTTTTGTATCAACAGGAATTCTACCTAAATACAGTACAGCACGGGTTGATGTGCCTTGACGCATCACTGTCCTTTTTCCCAGCATCAGCCGCCCAGAAAACCCACAGTTTTAGCACATACATTCCCCTGATGGGAACATCCCAGCTACTTCACCTCAGCACTACTACTTTGTCCGTCCATATTGCTCATAACTTTCCATTTTTTCCAACCTTCCCCAACTTTCTTTCTTTCCACAACCTGTGGACTTATTTCTATGTAGGGATGAGGGTTGAAAATTTCAGCAAAAGCTAAATACTATGTGTGTGGTATTAGGGTAACGTGATCTATGATACTAACTTATGTATTATGATAAATGGTGTTGATTTTAGCTGACAATAAATTGTGTATCAGTACAACGCTAACGATTGATGTCTATTAGCCAAGAGTAAGGGTGCTCTGATCGGGTTTTTAAAGGCCGATCACCGATCACTACAAGCAGTATCTGCCAATACCGAGCACCGACTACTGGGTCTATTTAAAGCCTTATGTTTATACTGTACACACACAGGAACACACCTCTGTCTCAGGGGTTAAGTATAAATTGAAATTAAAGCCCTTAAATTCAACATTTTGTGTTGATTGCAAAAAGCAAGCCTTGTTTTGTCTGTTTCATGGGGAATCTGCCCAAAACTGACCCAGTGGCAGGCCTTAAGAATAACTATATAGAAATAGTCAATCTTCTTGCTGATGGTCTTAACTTTTAGCCAAGGAAGATATAATGATGCTTGGGTTGTAGGGATAAAGATAGTTGATTGTTTAGCCTCATCCCCAGGGTCCCAAAGTGTCTGTATTTGACTTCCTAGGAATGAATCTCCACAATTAACTTTTTTTCTTGGCTCTGATTGGTTGTTTTTGTTCAGGC